ATTACACATTTCTTCCATTCAGGTACACGAAACGGTTTTTGGGCTATTGGTATATTAGTATCGAGTTCAATATTCATTTCCATGAGATCGGTGCATCTAATATCACTTACTCCCGTTGCGAACACATCAGAGTATTTGTTCATTGCACTAATTAATTCAGTTTTGACAAACCGTTCATCGATTCCACATTTGATTTTATCGTTGCATAACTGCTTATGTTCGTTTTTCTTAACAATTTCACCGCATACGTTTTCAAAAGTTGTTTCCCCATTTACTTTTTAACATATCTTGCCCTAGCAAGAGATCCACCTGCAACAGTTCGTTGTCTACTACGTACAGACATACAACTCGCTCAAGGCTGTCTATTTTCATGTTATCGTGTATTTTTGTATGTGCGTAAGCAACACCACCACAAAATCCATTTATCTTAAGGTTACATTCTTCCTTAACGCATTTGAGACAATTCACTGCCAGTATCGATCAGTGCCGTGAATGTATTATCGTTAATCGAAACAACTTTCTCCAACTGATTGCCTTGAATAACCGTCTTATTCACAGATTTCGTCGTACGTGTTCCTACGCTTTTCTTGCCGCAGTTTTCGGGCTTGTTTCTAGAATGTAATTTTTGGCAGTCAACGCACCTACGTCTACGTTGTGGTTATGGGCATTTCGAAGAAATGTGTCCCTTTTTTTGACAATTAAAACACACCAACCGCTTATCGTTGTCGCTTTTTCCATATGCTTTCATTTCAAAATTTGTTCTTTCGGGTTTAAACGTACGCACCGGCAAATTTTCCGAGTAATCAACTAATGTTTGGCGAAACTCACGCATCGAACTAAAACGATTTGCTGCAATAGCAATTTGCAGTTCACGCTGTTTAAGGCCATTTCTCGCATATTTGATAATAGCTGATTCACTTAGTCCGAATTTTTTTCCAAGCACGCCTATGCGAAAACAGTAGTCGAGGAGACTTTCATTAGTTTTTCGCATCGTTTGTGACATTTTAAAGTGTGTAACAGCCTCATCTGGCACACTACTGAACTCGTCGAGCAAGCCTTTAGATAATTCAACCCAACTCATATATAAAATCGCCGAGGAGTCCAACCAGAGTTTTGCCGCGCCTTTTAGCTGGCTATACACCGCTAATAGCAAACATTTCTCGTCCCACTGGTATGCTGCGTAGGCCTTATTTACCCGTTCTATAAATTGCTCGACCGAAATCGAGGCTTCGTCTGTCGGGTCAAATTGAGGAATCGTTGCCGAAATCTCTTTCACCGAAAATGGACTACGCGCCATGCATGTGACCGCGCTACTAGTTGGAGAATTCGATCGTTCTTGATTAATGCGCGTATTTGTTGCACCGACGTTAAGACTTGTTTGCAACATCTGCATCATTGAGCTGAACATATCTCGTAGTTCAGTAATTTGCTCCTGTACGTTTGCACTGGCCACTTCGATACTATCCTATCCGACGGCTTCACTTAGACGCAGAATTAGTTCATTTTTAAGGCCTTCCGTCGATAGTCCTTCTTCGTGCAGTCGTTCTTTTAATTCCGTTAACTCTAAACTGTTTATTTTTACGCGCGGCATTATGTTTGTTTCAACCGCTTTTGAATTTCACAACGAAATGAAATTATTTCTCTACTGTCTATGTTATCCGTACAACACGCGTTCCTTTTTTTTTTTAATGTCAATTCACTTATATTCTTTTTCTTAGTTCGTTCCGTTTTCACTATTGCAACGTTTCGTATCGTTTCGCTAACGCTAGTGTTCGCAGTACACACACGCTTACACACACGTTTAGGAATTTTATACGTTCATTCCTTTCGTTTATTTTTACGTTTCGTTGCCGTTCGTTAGCGGAATTCTTTGTTATGTCAGCGGAGCACACACATTTGCCCAGCGGAGTCTCACTCACGTCTTTGCGTGTACGATCCCACTTCTGATTTGTAAGAGTAAAATTGAATACAAATAAATCACTCTTATAAGTTAAAGCTAAAGTTAAAGTTTTATTGAGTACCGTAAATATAAGTACACACGAAGATATAATATTCAATATACAAACTACCAGCAAGCTACCACACAGCACCGTCGCGATCAAACCATAACCATTGATTGACTTGTTTCGTTTTCGCTTTTGTTTTTTTTTACCTTCCAGTCAGGGCTGCCATCCTCTTACAAATGTAAAGCGATTTTCGCTCAGTCATTTTTTTCCCTTTTGTATTTACTTTGCATAACATTGGAAGTTCACTTTTTTTATTGAACCGCTTGCACGCATTAATTTAAGAGTTATTATTATTTTACATACATATTTTGCGGGGCTTGCTTTCTCTTTTATTTTTATATTTGTTTGTATGTTTTGTGTTCTGTATTTAATAACATAGTCCCAATGTGAATGTTATTTCATTTGCATGCTTTGTAAGCAGCGCGGTGCAGTTTTCATTCTGAACCTTAGTATATTTTAAAAGGAATGTGTTTTCTCTTAAATAATGTTGGGTGTAACTAACATATGTGAAATTTTGTTTGTATTGTACGTTTTGTGTTTATGTTCATCTGTTTGGAAACGCTATTATAAAAAATGTTAAGCAGCAACATAGCGAGATTATTTACCTAATAAAAAAAAAGTCTAAAAAGAAAGCTTTGCTAAGGTGTTCAGTAAATACTCTAAACCATTCGACGCCTCGCCTCTGATGACAATAAATAAATCTTTTTCAATTATTTTAGTTACTTTTGTTCATGTTTCTGATTTAAAAAGTATATACATATATAATATACACATTCTATCAGAGACGATGACATTTCTGTGGTAACTTTACTGTTTACACATAACATACGGTTTTAGATTAGATATAATTTTAATTCTCAATACAATACAACAATTATTCTCACTCAATCTGCTAGTCTTGCCGCCTTTCTGTCAGCTGTCATTATTCCCCTTCTAGTGTTGTACTCCGTTTACTACAATTTCTTAATTTAAAAAATCAATTAATGAGTCTTATAGCATTGACAGATGAGCGCACTAAATTATCATTAAGCAGCCTTTAATGATCATTTTAAAAATACCCTGACAGACGGTATAAATTATCATTAAGAAGTTGCTGTATGTTTTTTGTTATTGAAAAAGCAAGAGAATTTTATATTCAAAATGGATAAGCAAGAAAAATTAAAGAAACTTGCTTTAATTAAATATAAAATATATAAAAAAAATATGAAATATATAAAAATAAAACGAGTACTTACATTTACCAATGTTTACAAATATGTTTTGTTTACATTTTGACAACCAAATAGCTTGAAATTTGTTCCATTTTTAATTTCGTTTCACTTGCATATGCAGCACTACCATATCTAAAAACCTAAATGACGAATAAATTGGGTTATAGCATTGACAGACGAGCGCACTAAGATATCATTAAGCAGCCTTAAATGATCATTTAAAAAATACCCTGACAGACGGTATAAATGATCATTAAGAAGTTGCTGTAAGGAAAATCTCATGCTCTTGCGTCCATGCGAGGGGCTTAAGTTTATTAATTTAAGTCATCTAAAATCAAAAGATATATAAAATATATAAAAAAAATATAAAATATTTAAAAAAAATATAAAATATATAAAAATATATCGAGTATTAACATTTACCAAAGTTTCCAAATATGTTTTGTTTACATTTTGACAACCAAATAGCTTGAAATTTGTTCCATTTTTTATTTCGTTTCGCTTGCATATGCAGCATTACCATTTCTAAAAACCTAAATGACGAATAAATTGGGTTAAATTCGGTCATTTAAAGACCATAAATGATCATTTAAAACTGCTAAATGAGCAAATAAATTATAATTTAGCCCCTTAATGATAATTTAGCTCCCGTCTGTCAATGCTATTAAATTCGGTCATTTAAAGACCATAAATGATCATTTAAAACTGCTAAATGAGCAAATAAATTATAATTTAGCCCCTTAATGATAATTTAGCTCCCGTCTGTCAATGCTATTATCATTTGCCTTTCAAAATAAAAATGAAAATATTTTTTTTCTTTCCCACGCAAAATTTGTATGTTGTGCTCTTTATTTTAAAAAACAAAAACTATTATTTTGGTATTAAAAACGAAAAACCAAAAAGAACAACCATATTTTGCATTAAAAAGAAAACAATTATAAGTCACAATATAATATAAATATTAGTCATATAAGAACGTATACTTTTTGAGCAGAGCAAAATAAAACTTTTAGGTGTGTGGTGGTTGTTGTTGTGACTGACAGACAAATTATGTAAAACGATTGGTGCAGGCGAAAAGTTAATATTTTTTATTTAATAAATAATGCAATTACAAATTTAAACGTCTATTTTTATATATTTTAAGTACACATCTTTAAAACAATAAAATTGGCATGATCGTACAACTGTGTATTTAATGAATTTTTTTAATGCTATTTTATATATATTTTCGATGGGCAAAACTCATCAATTTTCACTTTAACAATTTGGATAAAGTTCCTTGTTGCTGTTGTTTTGCAATGAAAGCGAAATGTATTTAAGTGTAATAGAAAGGTTTATTTCAATTTTTTTTATACAATCATTCATTAAAATATTAATGCAATAATATGAATAATACTCACAGATTTCTTAACCTTACTAACAAGTAGGCAACTGATTGATAGACGGACATATAGATAGACAGGCAGATAGATTTACAGGCGGATAAATACACAGACAGACAGACAGACAAACAAACATACAGTTATTTAAAAAAATTTAAGTTCATAGCAGTGTTTCAAAGATAGCAGGTAAGTCTAAATTATCGTAAGATATATAACTTTTTTATCAATATGTTTTAAAATTTATCCACGGTCTTATTTTATTTTTCTTTATTTTCAACTAAATAAATAATTCACTTATTTCACAATTACGTTAAGTAAATTACCTTTAGTTTTCTATAAACGGAATCTTATCACAATTAAGTGTTGTAACAACTAGAATTTACTAATTCTTAAATATACAGGAAAACTACACATGATTCGATATCAAACTTATCAAGCTACAGCAATGGAAATACGTCGCCAAATATGAAGGTAAAAAAATTGCTAATAGAATTTAATTTAAAATTTTTATTCGGAGCTTACAGAATAATTGGAACTTACCATCCTTGGAAGAAGCTTTTACAGTGAACACGCATCTTATGAGACTCAACAATGAACACTTAAATAATATTGCGAGCAATGTGCATCATCAATATATATCAAAATATAAAATGGAGTAAGTTGAATAAGTCCATTTCATATGAAAAAGCTATATTGATAAAAAAATATACATACGTGTATAAAGCTTATATATTATAATTAAATAATATTAAACTTCATTTAGTAAGTGCGCTCCGAAGGGGGCAAAAATAACAACTATGTTGCTAAAGGCTCAGTTATAAGGTAAGTGACGTAAGAAATTAATTCAAAGCGAAATGCACAACCAACCAAACGTGTGTGTTTGATAAAAACGAAATAAACAAAGTACACAGTTTTTATTTATTTCGTTCCTATCAAATACGCAGGTTTGGTTGGTTGTGCATTTCGTTTCGAATTAATTTCTTATGTTACCTACCGTCTAACTGAGCCTTAAGTGATATGTGTATGTATATAATCTCTCCCACTCTCTCAGTATAGACTATTGTGTGCACACTTAAATATAATAAATTGAGTTTGTTTCGAACCGCAAAATGAGACCGGTGTTTTATGTTGCTCGTGTTTATATTAAACGGCGACGAGGAAAAAATTAAAAACAAAAAGTGAAAAGTAAAACTAATAATATTAATATTAATAAATAAAAACAAAATTAATAAATCCTAAAGGAAAAACCATAATAACAGAATGTATGGCAAATTCAGTAGATAAAAAAAATTGTTTTTGATAAATGTGAAGCTCTAGTTAAATTAATTAATTCAAAATGTGATATAAAATTTTATTTTATTTTTTATTTAACAATATACATTTAATGAATCGCTTTAAATTAAAGTCTAACAATAAGTTTTAGAATTTTAAAGACTAATAACACTACATTACAAATTAATTTATATAAACATCAGTGATGACTGCTCTAAGGTGCGGAGGTGTGCGGCGCACACCCTTACATAATTTGCAAATTGTCAAATTTTATATATTAATTTATTAAATATCTTTACATCTAGAATTAATATTATTTATTACATTTTCAAATATATAATTTTAAAGATTTGAGTTTTAGCAAAAACAATTAAATATAATTGTCTATGAAAACTCATTTAATTTGTTTCTTTTAGCTATTAGAGTCGTTAGTTGTGCTCATAAGTTTGCAGCTCACATCGCAAAACATTTCTATCATATTTCGTCTTTCCCCTTTACGCAATTGCATTCATTAATTTCTGTCATAAGTGTGCACAAAAGTAGAATGAACAAAGTAATGTGTGTGTGCTCTAGCTTAAAATATGAGAAGTAGAAATTGGGAATTGTATGAGAGTATTTTCTGTTCTATTCGAATATCAACTACATGTATAACAATTCAACATGTTGACTTGCCGAAGCGGTTAGATGTGCGACTAAAGTTTGCAGCTCACATCACCATACATTTCTTTCAAATTTCGTCTCTCCCCTTTTAGCTGTTGCTCCCGCGAATAATAACCGCTTTGTGTGCGGAGTAGCTGGCCGCACATTTATTCGTTGCAAGTGTGTTCGATTGTGTTTGATCACTGCATAAACATGTATGGTTTAAATGTTACAAACTCTTGTTTGAAAAAAGTTGATTTGGTGTTATAAGAAGTATGTGAAAAGTTGTATTTATTTCATATTGATATAATGTTATACTTATATACAGGGTTTGAATTGCTGTTGCTAATTGCATTGCTTGCATAATTGCTAACGCATTACATATGAAAATGAAATAAGAATATGCATTAGCAACAGCAAAAAACGTAAACTGGTTTCATTTTGATTGCTTGCTAATAGTCAATTTTACATTTTTGACTATTATGCGTTTGGAATATATGCAACGTGCTTGCTTATGCGTTAGCTGCTTGTGTTTTGCTATTAGCAAATGTGTATGGATTTCTTCTTTTTGTTTTTGTTTTAAGAGAATATATAGGCATTATTTCTTTGTTGGTGCATTGAATATAGTTATGCAAAATTGTAACTAATGTGTGTGCGTACAAGTTGTATGCAAATAATATAATTTTATCTGTAATTAGATTATGCCTAAATTTATGTTTTTTTAAATTATTAAATTTATGATATATATGATATATATCTTATATATAAAATTAACATTGTCAAAATGTTAGTTACCGTACTCCTCCGAAACGGCTTTACCGATTTTTACCAAATTTTATATGCGTATTCAGTAGGTCTGAGAATCGGCTACTATCTATTTTTCATACCGCTAAAGTGATTAGGGAGTCCCTACCCAGTAAAAATATCCTTATTGCTTAACAAAAAATTTTTTATTTTTTTGACATAAATTTTGTTTATATTTTTGAAAAAGAAAAATTTTTTCTTAATATTTTATGTAACTACGCCAACAAGTACATCGAGCATTTACATCGACTTCGTTCTTCGTCTTCGGCTTGCATGGCAGATGGAAAATGTACTAAAAATTTTTCTAAAGATTTCACTAATGATACTATAACAAATACCGACGGATATCCAATATATCGTCGAAGAAATCCCGATAATGGGGGACAATGGCGGGTGGTAACGTATTCGCCTCTGCTAAGCAAGACATACAATGCTTATATTAATGTTGAGTTTTGCAGTTCTGTGAAGAGCATCAAATATATAAGTATGTCCATAAAGGCGGTGGTATGGCTGTGTTTAGAGTAGAAAATACTAATGTAAATGCTCCTCCAATGAACAAAAACGGTGAAATTACGCTCTACCAAATTGGTCGGTACATCACCTCCAATGAAGCTGCTTGGCGTATCTTCGGCTTTCTAATTCATGAACGGGATCCAGCAGCTGTTCAGGTAGCCGTCCATCTTGAAAATGGTCAGCGTGTATTTTTCACGAACGAGACAGTGATTGATCGTGGTACAAATCCACCTAAATCTGCACTCACTGCATTTTTTGAATTGTTTAATAGTACGGATGATTTTGGTGCCTTTGCAAAAACATTACTCTATTCACAAGTACCACGCTATTTCACATGGCCTTAAACAAAAAAATGGATGCCCCGCAAGCAAGTTTCACCAGTTGATGCATGTCTCAATTTATTTAAATCAAACGCTTATTTATAGTTAATCCAAGACACACTGAGTACTTTTATCTTCGACTGTTGTTGGTTAATGTTACTGGCCCATTATCATTATTATTATTTACAGTCAATCCAAGACAATTTAAATTTGAAGATACAACAGTTGTTGCCAGGGAACTTGGTATCATAAAATCTATTGATTTTAAATTAATAATTTAATAAATAAACTATAATAACTTAAAAATAATATTGTTTGGCGTTTGTTATTTTTATTATCCTTTTCGTTCATAGCGCTCCATGCCTATTTCATGCATATACCACATACTTACACACTTATAATAAGTAAGTTACTTTTTGTCTACACTAGAATTTATCTAGAAACTAGAAATAATTTATAAGGCAAAACAGCGTTTGTCGGGTTATCTAGTATATATATATATATATATATATATATATATATAATAATTATTAATTATTAATTCATATATATATATATATGTTTATATTTGTGAATACAAATAATATTTGTGGGAAAATTTTAAATAATATGTAGAACATATTATATACAAAGTTGCCGTTATTCTAAGGTATTTCATTTTAATCGGTGTTTCATGGCTCCGCGACTTAATAAATTCGCAATTCTTCAACATTTTAATATAAATAGTGACAGCGATTTAGCAGTTCGACTTCTTCGTACAGCTCGTTGGCGATGCTTTTCAATACAAATTTTTTATTAAATTTTTCTTCTAAGCCACGACAAATAGGGTCAATAATCTTTCTCATATTTTCCGAATTAAGGACATTAAATGGAATAGCGAAATAACTCTTTTTTGCTCATTTCGATTTTAATTGTTTGTTTTCGGAATGATTTTTTCACAACTATTGCACTACTACTTGAGCTGGAATCTTCATTTTCATTTATATTTAACTGGTGCATATTTTTTAAATGTGTTCTGAAATTAAATATTCTGTCCCTCTTCAACGAATGTTTGCAAATTTTACAAACTGCTCTAAATCGCTATCACTATTTATATTAAAATGTTGAAGAATTGCGAATTTATTAAGTCGCGGAGCCATGAAACACCGATTAAAATGAAATACCTTAGAATAACGGCAACTTTGTACATAATATGTTCTACATATTATTTAAAATTTTCCCACAAATATTATTTGTATTCACAAATATAAACATATATATATATATATGAATTAATAATTAATAATTATTATATATATATATATATATATATATATATATATATATATATATATATATCATATATATCATATATATCATAAATTTAATAATTTAAAAAAACATAAATTTAGGCATAATCTATTTACAGATAAAATTATATTAATTGCATACAAGTTGTACGCACACACATTACTTAGAATTTTGCACAATTATATTCAATGCACCAACAAAGAAATAATGCCTATATATTCTCTTAAAACAAAAACAAAAAGAAGAAATCCATACACATTTGCTAATAGCAAAACACAAGCAGCTAACGCATAAGCAAGCACGTTGCATATATTCCAAACGCATAATAGTCAAAAATGTAAAATTGACTATTAGCAAGCAATCAAAATGAAACCAGTTTACGTTTTTTGCTGTTGCTAATGCATATTCTTATTTCATTTTCATATGCAATGCGTTAGCAATTAGTCGTTTGACAAAAATCGACTGGTCAATATTTATGCATTAGTCAAAATATGGTTGCTTTTGCTAATTTTCAGCAAGCAATTCAAACCCTGCTTATATATAAATTATTTATTTAATTTGTTTAATATATTATTTTGTTAATGAATTATTAAATGTTATATTGTGAATATATTGTTGTCTAATGTAATATAGTTATTATTAATAAAACATCTTATATATTTCAATTTATCATTTTTAATTTAAGTGGTAAATGTGAAAACAACATTGTAGAAAGGCCGCACTCCCTTCCAGATAGGACTCGCGTCGCCACTGATAAACATACTGTAATGATATATATAATGATTTGTAAATTATTGCAAGGGGCCTTTAAGTAAGTAGCC